TGGGGTCTCTCTCAATCAATTTTCTTTTAAAACCCACTCTGGCAGGTGGGTTTGGTATGTTAAATAATGTTGGCTTTGCATCACGTCGAAGCCTGCTCTTTGACTCATTAGAGAACATGCATTCCTCAAAATGTATGGAACACAATTTGCAATTTTGGTGCAAGTATTTGGGGGATTTCTTTAGAAGATCCTGACGTCTGGTTAGAACAACCCACTCTTTTGCTCTGAAAGACAATTTTTCAAAACCTTGGTTTTCAAGTCTACTTTTACTGCATATATTTTAAGAGAAAATTTATTGTTTGATTTTCATACCTTTTATCATCACATGGGAAACGGAAAAAACTTAGATCAGGATTTTTGAGCTTGCTGTTTGTGCAGTTAATAGCTGAACAAAAGGTACGAGTACCTCCTGGATTAGTTTGTTTCTTTTCACATGAACTTTCCATTTAGATTACCTTTCAGAAAATACTGTATATAAGAAAACTTATCCTGGATGTTTAGTTGGATGTGGCCTGGTTTCAACATGTAAAAATGGTTAATATTTAACAAAGACATTAAATAGACATAATTGTGAAAATAATTTTCTGAGTGCTGATTTATTGCATGATGCATTGCCAGCAATATATTGTCAGGACAAGAGAGATAAAATAAGTTGAAGAACCAGATAAACTATCTGTTGAGTATAATGATTAGCATCATTGTCACATGAAATTGATAATTCTGTTGCATGTATTTTGATGAACATTTAAAATTTGTATGAAATCTATTGAAAACATTGTAATAAATGCATTATATAATATTTCATGTTTATTGAATAATTGTACAACAATAAGATTGATAAAAATACAAAATTTAAAGATAATCAAAGATATTATTTTTAATATGTTTACTCTACCGGTTCTTGAAGCTTTAATACCGAAATCTTACATTTCCTTAAAGTTTTGTTTTTAGTCTAAACTTGTTACAGTACAACAGTAGCACAGTACAATAGCAAACGACAGTTGTGTACAATATTAATTAATAAAGGTAACAATAAACATAAAATGTTTATTTTAAAACCATGTTAATAAAAAAATATTTCAGGTATAGCAGCATAATACATGTAAATGTTTAGAAAAAACCTCTACTAAATAGTAAATAGCATAACTTTAATCAAAGTCTTTGTGTTCCATCGGGCATCACTCATCGCTTCGACAAAATTGTTTCATTCTTCAAAACTTGTCACCTTTGAACAGCAAGAAACATAACCAGGTAAGTCTAAGTGTCCTCCTTTTCCTTTCCATGGCTTAGGAGTAAAAATCGATGTATTATTTATGACATGATATCGTTTTCTCGAAACCTTTCTTCTTTATTTATATATTAAAACTGGCTGTCATCACGGTTAATAGAGCTGTCATATAGTGTGTTTACTGGCTGCCGATTTTTTGGCCGCGTAGAAGGTCTGGGACCTAAATTAAAAGCTCGGGACACTTTTTGACCCTGAGCAATCTCGTTCCCCGAGCATGCCCGTTCGCAGGTTAAGGGTGGGCATAGCTCTGGAGAAATCGAATTGATTCAGGCCTGTGATTGGCTAACGGCAGACAGTACGTTGGATTTCCAACGTGAGTTCTACGCATGCTTGGCAATTGTTGGAAAATATAAACAAAGTATTTGGAATTTCTCGTCGAAAATTTGCTACTTTTTTACACTGAAATCGATTGAAAACAACTAGAAATTCTGGAGGGAATATGTGCGAAAGCTTCGGATTGATAGGGATACCATGACGACCCGCACGTTTTGAAAAACAGCGGGATCTGCAAACTGAGTTTGCAACTTCAGGAAGCGAGCAACGCTAATCGCATTATTAATTACCGCTATAAGATGTCATCAATCCAGGTTCAGTTGCTTAGACGCAGTGTGAAACCAAGCAAGTAATAAGTTAATTTTCTGTTATGCATTAAAATAAAAGTGTACAAATATGTCACAATGCTGACTGTTGACAAGTCACCTAGGGCCAGGCTATACTATATAGCGTACAATGTGTAATAAGGCTGCGTATAATATGTAATAATATTAAGACTTGTGTGTTGTAAAACAAAACGTTCTTGGTATCTTAGAGAATAGCACGATAATTCCATGTCAAGACCGCGGAACATATTTGCCGTTTTAGATCTTGGCAGTATAAAAGTCCGGCTTCAAAGGCGTAAGTTTTCTATAGGCAATAATAAAGAAACTGACTTATGAAGTTATATAATTATACCGCCTTTCCCTATAGGCCCTAGTGCGCACATGAATCTGGTACAAACGTTTTCACCAACGTATATATCAAATGTATATATTATTCCAAAAACAATAGCTGCATTGACACCATTGTCTTATAGCTAATCTACGGAACCTATGCCCGCGCCTGCGTTGTGAGGCAAAGAATAATATAAGACTCCTTTTAAGCTTCCACTGGTTAAGAAAAGATGGGACATATTCATAACCTGTCAGCAAAAGATGGGACATCTTTCTGACACAAGAGTTTCCACTAAAAGTATTCTAGATATTATTCCCAAACCTAGCGCTATCGCTGCATGCATCCATGCACCGTTTTACTCTAACTTAGCGTGATGTAAAGAATAATATAAGACTCCTTTTAAGCTTCCACTGGTTAAGAAAAGATGGGACATCTTCATAACCTGTCAGCAAAAGATGCCGGACATCTTTCTGACACAAGAGTTTCCACTAAAAGTATTCTAGATATTATTCCAAAACCTATAGTAGCGCAAGCTGCATCGCCTTATACTCAGTGTAACTTAGCCTGATGCAAAGAATAATATAAGACTCCTTTTAAGCTCCCACTGGTTAAGAAAAAATGGGACATCTTCATAACCTGTCAGCAAAAGATGGGACATCTTTTTGACACAAGAGTTTTCACTAAAAGTATTCTAGATATTATTCCAAAACCTAGCGCTGTCGATGTGGCATACTCCAAATTTGATATTTCAACTATATACTCTATAGGTATAGCCACAAAAAAATGGATATTGTCAAATCTGAAAGCCAGGGGTACGGCTCATCTCCGCGTTTACTCATCACTAGCTCGCCCGGGAAATAATCTGGCGATGCCCAGCGTAATGTCTAATGAGAATGATATCAAATTTAGTTCAATGGGCCATTTTAGACTAATTTTCGATTCTTTTCAAAATGCTTGCGCAAGTTGAATTTAAACGCTAATATCTCAGTCAATATTTCGTGATATCTCATGTATAACCTATCAAAATTTAAGTTAGCCTTTTATGAATACAGCTACATTTATTTGAGCGATGTATAGCTCTTATAGTTTTTCGCTATGGTAGATCAAACGCCTGAACTTTTTTTGCGCCACCCGGTATATATATGTAAATAAATATTATTTGTCTTGAGCTACCTTGTATCAAAATATAGAAATGAGTATATTAAATAACGAATATAGTACAATCAACTCGCGGTTGTGATAGCCCTGCTTGAAAGCCGTGGTATCTAGCATACTGTATACTAAAGAAATAATAACGATGCTTGCTGCAATACCTATAGGCTATAGCCTTTTGACTATTACCTAACCTTACTGATTGAAAATACTTCGCATTAATCTTTAATCTTTATTCTTTAATAAGCAGCCATCAAAATATTGCCAGTTTGTTCGATCTTGATCTCCATCCTGAATCCATACACACGATTGTCAAGCAGAATGCACTCTTCTTCAGACTAGTTTGGCGCAATTTGAACTTTGCGCGGCATTGTCTGCTAACATTATTATGAATTGGTGATGACAACCTGGTTTGTATGTTAGCTCAGTTAGTTATTTGCTACATCATAGATTCTATGGGGTTAAATTTCATGCACGCATAAATTATTTCACTATAAATTTATGATACATGTCACCACTCTTACCACCTCGACTAATAATGCTGTGGTAACTAACACCTTCAAGATAATTCAATTTATAGGCGTGCGGGTCGTCATGTTGTTTGCCTTATGCCTGTTTATTAGGCAAGAATAGCCTGCCGGCCCGAAAGCAGTGCATTGTGGTAGGCCGAAATACGCCAAAAGATCGAGATTTCATTTGCCTTTTCATCTTTTCATCTGCCATTTCGAATGTCTTCATGATAAGATTTATAAATTTGGAACACTAGGTAAAATCCTTTTATGTGGAGATTTTAACGCAAGAACGGGACACTTAATGATTTTATTGACAACGAATTTCCAGAAAACGATTTTCAAATTCCGATTGCAATCGAAAAACGATGCTCAAAAGATTCACACACTAATAATTATGGAAGATCATTATTAGATTTATGTGTTGGCAACAACCTGATTATCCTAAATGGGAGAACTAAAGGAGACTTCACTGGTCAGTACACTTGCCACACGTACAATGGAGCAAGTGTAGTTGACTATGCTATTGCTTCTTATGACCTCTTAAAATCAATTATTAACTTTTCTGTTGACAATGTTAATGAATTTTCCCACCATTCTTGTTTATCCTTTGTGTTGAGTGCAAAAACCCCCAATTTTTCAGAAGATGATATAAACATAATGCCTCACCCTGAATCGTTTTCATGGAATGAGAACCTAAAAGACAACCTGGGGATTGTTTTAGATTCCAAGGAAGTTCAGATTAAACTAGAACAGTTGTTTTCTCAAACATCCTCAGGAACTCTTTGTGATATCAACCCCATTGTGAATGAATTTACGGAAATACTGAGTGCCTCATGTAGTAAAGTGTTAAAAATGAAGGGACGTAGAAAAGTTAATAAGAAAAACATTCCAAAACAAAGACAAAAATGGTTCAATCAGAAATGTCATACACTCAAAAAGAATCTTCGAAACCTAGGTAAATTGATTACTATATATCCAAATAACACATATCTAAAACATACATTTTTCTCAAAAAAGAAAGAATATAAATGTTTACTAAGGAAACTGAAAAGACAGTTCCATAATACCATATTAGAAAAAATTGAAGCTTTAGCCGACAATAACCCCAATGAGTATTGGAAGTTAGTAAATTCTATTAAGACTAGTCAGAAGTCTAAAGACCATAATGAAATATCATCTTCTGAATGGTTTGAATATTTCAAAAATCTCAATAAGAATGAGCATCTTTGCTCAGAGGAGTCAAGTACTGAAGCCAAAATTGTTAAAGATTACAATAAGTGGGCAGCACAAAAAATCGATGTTCTTGATCGACCGATTTCCACTGAAGAATTATACAAGATTTCAAAAAAACTGAAAAATAAAAAGCATGCGCCAATGATCCATTATCGAATGTAATCATTAAATTGTCAGTGGAAATTTTACCATCATACTTTGTTAACTTATTCAACCTTATCCTTTCTCAGGGCGTATTTCCTTCAGCTTGGTCTAAAGGGTTTATAGTGCCATTACATACTATTAATCAGGTAATACTGATGAGCCGAATAACTTCAGAGGAATTTGTACGAGCAGTTGTTTAGGAAAATTTTTCACATCAATAATGAATACACGCCTTAATGACTTTTTGGAAAATAAAGAAATTATAAACAAGTGCCAAATTGGATTCAGGAAAGGTTACAGAACAGCAGATCATCTTTTGGTTTTGAAAACATTAATTGATACATATAAATTAAAACGTAAACCGATTTTTGCTTGTTTCATCGATTTTAGGAAAGCCTATGATAGCGTTTGGAGAGAGGGTCTCTTTTACAAATTAATCATAAATGGTTGCAGCAAAAAATTCATACGCCTTATGTTAAGTATGTACTGTTCGGTAAATTCATCTGTTAAATTAAACAAGGGAATTACTCCTTTCTTCAAATCATATATAGGAGTTAAACAAAGTTGTAATCTTAGTCCTACACTTTTCAACATTTTTGCGCTAAATGATATACCAAACTTATTCAATAGCTCGTGCGATCCGGTCAAACTTGGTAATATTTTCTTGAATTGTCTACTCTATGCAGACGACTTAGTAATACTATCCGAATCAAAATCTGGTCTACAAAATTGCTTAACTAAACTTCAGTCATACACAAAAATGTGGAAACTAACAATAAACAAAAAGAAATCTAAAGTATTAATATTTGGAACATGAACACAAAGACGTACATACTTAACATCAAATTGGGTATTTGAAAACAATACTCTAGAACAAGTTGATGAATACTCATATCTTGGCATAAACCTCTACTATTCAGGTAATTTTAAACAAGCCCGAAAAGTTTTATACAATAAAGCCTTACGAGCCTACCACTCTATATTCCACAGTTTCTCAAATATTGAAAATATACCGACTAAAACACTTTTGAAACTTTTCCCTACCGTTATATCCCCAATTTTATTATACAATTGTGAAATTTGGGGTCCCTATTTACTTGGTAAAATAGATCGCTTTGATCAATTTAAGAATAAAATGTTCAAAATACGGAATGCTACTGAAAAGTTGCATTTAAAATTCTGCAAACGAATCATGGGAGTTCATTTGAAATCGACGAATCTAGCTGTCTATGCTGAGTTAGGCAGAACGCCTTTAATCCTCCAAGTATACACCATGATGGTTAAATTTTGGTTGCGTATTAACGATCAGTCATTTAATGACACACTCGTTGGTGAAGCAAGAAATGTTTGCATAGCCATGAACTTACAACCAGTAATTTGTTAGAACTATGTGATGAAAATATAAACGGCGATTTTGTTCAATTGAAAAACTTTTGCCATTATTTAAAGCATTAATTAAAAAACTTTTATATTAACTACTGGAAAGAACAAATTCAACAAGGTGGTAATCGGGGCAAACTAAGAACTTTTAAGAAAATTAAAACAAGTCTTGACCCAGAAAAATATATTTTTGAAGTTAACAATATAAAACATCGCCAAGCAGTTACGAAACTCCGAATCTCAGCCCACAGATTACCAGTTGAAGTTGGTCGCTACAACAATATCCCATACGAGGAGAGAATCTGTGGCCACTGTGATTTGAATGAGGTTGGTAATGAACAACACTATTTAATGCAATGTGCCAATACAAAATTCACAGTGATTAGAACGAACTTCATTACCAATCTTTTTCAAATTAACTATTCTTTTAGATTTTTTAATAACCATGATCTTTTCATATATTATGTCAATGAAAGACAAATCCATAAATTCACTAGTTGCTAAATTCTGTTATGATTTTTTAAAAACATTTGACCAATTGTAAGTTTGTATCTTAAGCTCATTTTCCATATACTGTAATCAGTTTATTTGTTTGTAATTCGACATATCAACAATGGTATTTTTGTATGAATAAAGTTATTATTATTATCTAAAATACAAATAGTACACATTGCTTTTAGACGTAAGAAATTGGTTTTCATCCGCTATATTTTGACCATATTCACTCATAAATTGTCGCGATATTCAGTTTATGTTTCTGGTGAATCCATTGACTGTGAGTCTGTGTCTCTGGCTCATTTATATTTATCGCGCTTTCGAGTTTCGTAACTATGACCATATCGGTTGACTGCATCGAAGCAGCTTCTTTTATAACATATTTAAATAACGAATTTGGAATAAAAATTGCACCATATTCAATCAAGTGCATGATAAACGAAATTAGAGTATCTATCATACATATACCATTCTCTTGGCTCTCGCAGACAAAGGTTTGTCGTCGACAGTATTTGTATGTTTTGGAATTGCAACGAAACCAATTTCGTCGGTAGCTAACCGTGGTCTTCTAACTCTTTCTTCGCAAAGTATGCTGAACACTGGATCTCATATTGCTCGTTTAAGGTGCACGAAGTCAACCCGTCTCCTTTTCGCTTCGGACATCTCGTATCCAGTAAAAGGTATAGAATGAAGTGAAATGTCTTTCTCTGTATCTGTGATATTAGAACAACCGCCTACTACACATCTATTCGGCAATTTTTCAGTTTCGAATTCGTGACTTTTATTTGCGCTATTGCCTCCTCTATGATGGTACATGAAATAGTATTTATATAATATTATTTCTAGTGAGCTAGATGAGTCCCTATACTATTACGTCACACGCATTGTAGTAGTGCTTGGTAACCTTTGTATATATAATTTAACTGTAAAAAGCTCAAATTATTTATTTTTCTTTGTTCCTAGAGCTACAGTGCGCTTTTTTTATATATATAAAGTTAAATATTACTGACAAAGATGGTAAAAATTAACCTTTGCATATGGAAAGAACAGGATGGATAATAACTTTAGATTGAACATTATACTGAAAGTCAATTTAGGGACCGGTCATTATTTATGGAAGGGGGGAGGGAAAAAATGAGGGGGGCCATATGTATAAATAAATTACTAGAAGGGGGGGGCTATTAAATTTTTTCAAGAAATTTGGAGGAATTTGCTTAATAAGCATGGTATCCATTGGGTTGTAATTGCGACTAAATCATGGTCACTGATGTGAAATAGTCTGGATTTATATTGTCTTCTGTGTGCTGTATGCAAATCAGTCTTTACGGATTGCAGAGATAAATTGACAATGTATTATTACATCAGCTATCTTGATGTGGTTAAATACATTTAAGCAAGGTTAACGGCGAATGTATTATGCAGGCCACATCCACGGAGGGGAGTCTGTGACGTCATATCGATTAAAGGGAGTTGTTTCGCGCCTTGTGATCAGTGCTTCGGTCTGGGAATTCATTCTGCCATTGTATGCTTTGCTTAGCTGCAGCAAGTTTAGCGCTTAGATACTTTTTCCCTTCCCACTCACCCACGTTTATTCTAGAGGATTTTATCTGGTAGTATGTCATTTTATTTTATATAATTTTTAATCTCACATAAAATAGGATGTATAGACCACTATACATTATATTTCGTTTCCACTGACTTGTCAGTGTGATTGGTGCCGGAGGTATGCCTTGGCAGAATGTCCAGAATTGTCATGGCTATCTCCTTTTGCTGCTAATATTCAGGGGCGCACATTAGGGGGGGGGGGGGTGACACCCCCCATGTTTTGTGAAATATATCTAATTAGACGCTCCCGAAACTTGTATGGGACGAAAAGAAGTTGGTCCGGCTAAAATCTGAAAGACATCATTTTGTGTCCAAAAAAGAAATAGGTGGACATTTTGGAAATGGAATCTAACAAAATTAGGCGACTTTTTGTGGTTGTAACTTTTCTTCCAACCTCGTCCTAAAATACGTGAAATAGTGTTCTAATGAACCTAGAAATTCAAAATTTTTCTCGCGCCTTCGGCGCTCGCACTCGAAATCCATAAAAAATTTTGGCCCCCCGAAAGTTTAGAGCAGAAGTTCTGAAAAACTAAGCGTTTATTTAAACTCTTGGAATTCTATCCCTGTCTATGAGTCCATCCGCAATTTTGGAGGAGTCTACGTTCTAATAAATCAAAGAGAGGTTACCGAGGTATGTGGCAGTGTATAGCATTTATACACATTTAGATAACCGATTACATCCACATCGAGTGAACACGCAGCTTTTCGAGTTTGAAGCTTAAATTGATTAAGACTGCCATTCGTTCAGTCATGAAAGAAAAAAGTCTAAGGGATCTAATCACTCTTGGATATGAAAAGGATCTCACGGATACAATATAATGGACCCAGACACTGTTGTTGATCGTTGGGCCGAGCTGCCAAAACAGAGCGCCTTATTCGTGTGAAGTAATTCCGATTGTCATTTTTCGATCAAATAAGCTGTGCAGGTGAACTATTTAAAAACTAATTTGACTGCCAGAAATCTATTGCTAATTGCTATAACTTTCTAAGCAATTTGAGTTGTCAGATATTTAATACTCTTAGTTGAATATTATGTGGGCACGCACTATAGATTTATTTTGAACCATTATTGTCTATATTTGAGCTCTTGACTTTAATAATGTACTATTCTTTAATAATGTACTGTGGGCTTGTGGCTAATATACTGGCTATAAATTCCATTTAGAACAACAGGTTAATTTCTAACGG